GCAGGTCACAGAGCAAATAAATGCAGAACCGAGCTGCATATAAATCTAGGCCTGTCCCCACTGTACCCTACTGTCTCCCGGGAAAACACTGTGACAGGAGGTGACCTACCTGTTCTGCCAGATGAATGAAGGATAACGTCAGTGCGGCAAACAGCCTGATAGGCTGAGAGAACACATTTTACTGGAAACTAGATTGACTGGGCCAATATGGCTTGTTTTCTGCTTCCAAGTCAGACACTGTGGAGTCAACCTCCACCCCTTCCTTTTTCTTATTCCCACTCCACAGTCCCTATAAATCCACCCTTAACTCCGGGGGCAACGCTTTCCCAGAATATCACACAAATCCACAGCATCTTCTCTCCTCGTTGTTCCACTTCAGGTGCCACCGTCTCTTGCCTGGCCTGTCAGTCACTAGTCTGGCCCCCACCCCAGTGGGTTTTCCATACTGCAGCCAGATTGTGCCAGAATCCTTCACTTAAAAACCTTCATTAGAAGAGCACCTGCCAAACACCTACAGCTAACATCATAGTTAATGGGAAAGACTAAATGTTTTAAGATCAGGAACAGGACAAGAATGTCCACTCTCACCACTTCTATTCAATGTTGTACTGAAGGTTCTATCCAGTGCAATTAGGGAAAAAAAGATTTAATTAAAAGCAACTAGATTGGAAAAGAACTAAAACTGTTTTTATTCAGAGATATAAAAAACCATTAGGACTATTAATGACAAGTTCAGCTAGGTCACAAGATATAAGATACTGTATTTCTAGATATCCAAGAAAATTTAAAAATTAAATTAAAAATAATTCTGTATATAATAGCATCAAAAAGAATAAAAATCTTAAGAGAAATGTCCATGTCAAAATGGAGAGGCAAGACAATACATTAAGCTCCCCTTCAACCTAACCCCCTAAATTCTCATGGAAATAACCTAAGGTTTATAAAAAGGGAGACTGTATGTCCATGTTGGAAACTAGGAAAGAGAGTGATGCCTACATGCTACAATCACTAAGGAATTTCTGTAAGGTGCAATACCAGAGACCTGATTAACAAAAAGGCTAACTAGACAAGATATTGACAGAGAAATACAGTTTAAGCCCTGGCTGGTGTGCCTGACAGGTTGCTGCTTCAATTTCTGGCCACGGCACATGCCCTGGTTTCGGGCTCAATCCCCAGTAGGGAATTCGGGAGGCAGCCTATCAATGTTTTCCTTTCACATCAATATTTCTCTCTCTTTCCCTTCCTTTTTCTCTAAATAAAAAATAACACAGTTTAAAATGTGGTCTGAAGTAACTTCAACTACTAGAATAAAAATCACAGAAAAGACAAAGAAAACTTACACTTGAAGACAGAAAAGGAAAAGACATAAGAAAGCTAAAAAACACAAAGCATTAACTATTATACAATTACACAAAAGAGCAAGTATATCAGTTAGCACAAAAAAATATGAGTGAAATAAACTTTCCAGTTAAAGAATAAAGACTCTCAGGAAAGATTTAAAAATAAAAATTCAATTATATCTTGTACTAAGCAATACATCTAAAACAATGACATAGAAATATTAAAAATAAAGAAAGTGGCAAACAGGGACTCAATAAATGCAAAACTAAAAGAAAATAAAGGTGGTAATATTATTATAAAAGTAGAAGTTTAGGTAAAAAACCTTTGGGGATAAACATAATTTTTATATTGAAAAATATATGTAATTTGCTCTGAAGATCTAATGCTAAAAATACATGCTGAAGAGTACACCACCAAAATATATAAAATAAAACTTAGAAATAAAAGGATGAATTGACAAAAACAATAGGAAAATGTAAAATCAACACACTGCTTGTCCTTGACAAATATCATCTAGACCAGCGGTTCTCAACCTGTGGATCGCGACCCCTTTGGCGGTCGAATGACCCTTTCACAGGGGTTGCCTAAGACCATCCAGCATATCAGATATTTACATTACGATTCATAACAGTAGCAAAATTACAGTTATGAAGTAGCAACGAAAATAATTTTATGGTTGGGGTCACAACATGAGGAACTGTATTTAAAGGGCCAGAAGGTTGAGAACCACTGATCTAGACAATAAAGAAGATATTAGAAAAAATAAATAATACTAAAAAGTTTTACCCTTCAACCAAAGAATCTACTTTGGTTTTTTCAAATACTCATAGAACATTTACATAAAAATGATCTTATACTGTGAAAATAAAAGCAACAAATTCTCCAAAGTAGAAATCATAATCCGATTAAAATACAATTCAACTGAATAGTAATTTTTTAAGTATAAAAAAGTTTACTGGAAAGTTTTAGGAAAAATCTCTAGAGTCAAGGAAGGAGCAAAACTGCAATTAGAGATTCTTTCTACAATAATGACTATCCATCAAAATTCATGGGATATGGTCAAAGTTGTACTTAGGGGAAAATGTTTCTTAATGTTTTGATTACCAAACAGGAAATAATGGAAGTAATTCAATTCACAAAACCAGCAAAAGAGCAATATCAGCCTAAGGTGAGTGAGAGAAAAGAATGAATAAAGATAAAAACAGAAATCAATAAGTTTGATAATAGGGAAAGAATAAAATTGATAGCCCTAGAATTGAAACTTTGAAAAGACCCATAAAACAGGCAAACTTTGGCAAGATGAACTGAGTAAAAAGAAAAACACAAATGCACAGGAGCAGGTGCAAGACAGGGGGTGTGATCCCAGGTACTGTGGGGATAGGAACGTTTCCTGGGGGAACTATATGTAATTCTACACGGCTACCCTTGACAATCTCCATAAAATAGATGACTTTCTAGACAAGCATACATAGAGAAACTGACTCCTCAGTAAAAAGGAAGTCTGAGTAGAATAATAACCATGTGAGAACATAAAAGAATTCACAAAGATCCAAGGGTCCCCACCAAACACACTTGCTATCCCCCCTGCAGACCCAAAGGAGTGTCATTCCAAACCCCTCAAGGAGCACATTTTTCATGCTGTTTGGATGGTCCCCCTCTGTGGCCATCTCCCCTCCGAGGGTCCTCGGAGGTGTGAGTGCCTCTGCTCCAGGGGTACTGAGAGGCAGAGCTTTCTCTCCAGCCTCCCCCTCGGCTGAGCCTGAATGCCCTTGGCTACTTCTGAAATAAACTGACATGAGCAGATCAGGAAGGTGACACAGAGGAACCCAAGCAAGGATGACCCAGTGAAGGTACAAACCCTGGGAGCCGCCTCTTCCTCAAACATGGCTGGTTGGCCAGCATGGGCTAAGCGGGGGCCAGGAACACAATCCAGGGCCCTCCCCTGCCAGGACCACCTCCCAAGGTCATGAAACCCCCACCTTCCAGGCGAGAGCAATCCCCACCTCTGGTGAGTCTTCTAATACTTCACTCGGAGCCAGCAAACCCCAACGTCAGGAAACAGAGGTCTGACTACATGTGTGTGGACGCTGCTTTAAAAGAAAGGAAAGCTGGAATAACCCCAATAGGCAGAGCTGGAAAGTTTACCTGCAGGGTCCATACCCCAACCAAGCAGCCCATTAGCCTAATTGGATGTTTTATCTTTCAACATTCATTTAACATTCACCACCAGTCAATGCAGGTGCCCTACATCGTGTCACCTAAGGTCAACATCTAATGTGAGGACTCCCTCCCCTGTGACCTCATCCAGTCTCATGGTCTTAAGCACTACCTAGCACCGATTTCCTTGAACTCTAAACTCACTATTCAAGCCCATTCCTGTCTCTCTCATTAGCATGTAACCTCTGTGAAGACAGTGGCTTTGTTTTGCTAACAGCTATATTCCCAGCACCCAGGTCAGTGTCTGGCACATAACATGTGCTCATGAAATATTTGTGGAATGAATAAGGGCAGGGAGGACTTGAGTCCCTTCATTCAAGTTGCACTGAACACCTACTGTGTGCCAAATCCTGCTGAGCCCAAGGGAGATGAAAAAGACCAGTCTGGTCTAAAACAAACTACTCGTCCATGGAGCCCCAGACACCCCAACCTCTGCTGCAGGCTTGGCAGTCTCACCTCTGCACTGCCCAGAGAGGGCAGGTTGCCAGAGAGAAGAGGGCTGGGGGGGGGAATTGCAAATATTGTCTGTAATCCTGCTCCAGGCATCTTCAACAAAGCCTTGAGGTTAAGGACTTGGCAGGGACCCCTCATTAATTAGCACCCCGAGCTCCCTGGGACTTGGCTGGTTGGCTGGTAAGCCATTAACCCTATGGCTTCCTGGGGAGCCCAAAGCCTGGCAGACAGGACCAGGACAAGGCTTGCAATGAAGCAGGGCAGACTACCATCAATCAAACCTCAGAGTGGCAACTCTGGAGCCCTTACAGCTGCCCCAGGAAAGTTTGTCCTTTCTGCAGAGGCTGTAGTTTCCACCCCTGTCTCCCTCCTCCATGTGAACCCCCTGCTTGGGAGACAGCTCAGGGTTACAGGAAAACAGTCTCGCCTTCTCCATGGTTTTCTCTTCCATCGCCTGCAATGAGGTTTGAGAGAGTGGAATCTTCCCCAAATTTCTGATTCTATACCCATAGCCACGACCACAAGGTTTGTGGCCAAGGCAAAATGCAAAGCAATTTTCAACAAAGTATTAATGGTTTTCAAGTAGAGGATACAAGACACAGCCACTATTATTAGCCTTCAACTCATATCTGCAGGGTCCAAGGGGGGAAATCTGTGTGCAAATAATATACACCAACAGATAGTCATATATACAACATATACACCCAAAATCTGTTTTCAAGAGAAAAACTTGAATTTCTCTATAACCCTTTTATGTCTTCTGTCGAGTCTTCCCAAATATCCAACTCATCAACCCTGTCCATTGAGCACTTCTAATCAGGAGAAAGAAACTGGAAAATATAAAGAAACCCAAGGAGTTGAGGGCAGGCCTCATTAAAAGAGAGGGTCTTTGCTGACTGACCATAAACCTTTCACCCAAGTGGGTTCCTCCTCTCAGCAAGCTTGGCTCAGGGCCCAGCTACGTGCTGTGGGGAAGAGATGGGTGGTACCTGGTTCGCAGGTTCTCTGGCTGGGGTGGGCCATCAAACACCGACAGAACATCAAAGTCCTCCTCCAGGGCGAAGGACTGGAAGACAAGCTGGATCCTGTGCTGGTCCTCTGCGGTGATGGTCCATGTGCAGTTGGCGTAATTGGGGTAGCCGTATGGGAACCCTGGACTCTCAACTGTCCCATTGGGACCCTGCAGTTGGAACGTGCAGTTCTGGCCTGGGAGAGAGAAAGGGAGCAGTTCAGTGTGGCTGGAGAACTCCTAGAAGCTTCCAGAGAGACAGGAGCACTGTGTTAGAGAATCATGAACCCGCTTTTCCAAGTGTGTCCTCAATGCCAGCCCCACGCTTGTCACAGAGGGAGGGAAGACAAGTGGCTGACACTGAGTGTGAGCCTGCTATGCCGCGTACTGTCCAGGTGGTACAATGAGCATCGTTGTGGCCAAGCCTGAGAACAACTCTATGAGGTAGGACGCTAAGGCTCAGAGAGAGTGGACAATGAAAGGACAACCAGACTAGGAAGCACGTGGACTTCCCCTTTACATTAGATGCCAGAGTGAGGATTTCAACCTTCTGCACCTTCCACAGCCTCCTGACTCTGCAGGCCCCTCATCTCACCTTCTATCTTCTCTCTCTTCTCACTTTCCATCTACACTAATAAAAGACAAACATGCAAATTGACCATACCTTCGCTACGCCTTAAGCCACACCCACCAGCCAATCAGAGCAACTATATGCAAATTAACCCAACCAAGATGGCGGCCAGCAGCCACGGAGCTGGAGCAAGCAGGAGGCTTGGTTGCCCCGATGATGGAGGAAGCCAAGCTTCCCAGCTGCCGCGGCCAGCTCTGAGCTCCACTCAAAGCAACAAAGTTTCAATTATAGAATGTAAATAAACCCCAGATACCTGCTTTCAGCCAGCCGTCACCACAGAGCTGGAGTGAGCAGGAGCCGGCTCTGAACTCCACTGAAAGCAACAAAGTTTCAATTATAGAAGGTAAATAAATCCCAGAATAAAAAAAAGAAAAGAAAAAAAGGAGAAGCTGGGAGCTTACGTCGCCAGGGTGCTTGGCCAGCCTGAAAACGGCCCTCAGCTCCTCACCCAGACTGGCCAGACAC